CGGGCGGCGGGTTGCGGGCTGCGCGACGCGCCTCTTCCCGCGCAGATCCAGGCGTTCTGGACCCGACCAGCTGTCCTTGGGCTCTGAGCGGCCCTCCTTGTCCTGGGCGCAGCGCTGACTCCTGTCAAATACCCCAGAACTTCCCGGATCCTCCCCTCCCCTCTGCTCCCTCCTCCCCCGCCCTCCCTGAGCCCCACCTCCCCGCGCCCGCGCTGCTCCAGGCTCCACTCAGATGCCAGCTCTAGCAACAGGCCGGCTGCCTGGGCGAGGGTCTGGGAGCAGGAGGTGGAGAGGGGCCCCTGGGCTGTCCCGGTGTGGGTTAGCGGGGTGTGCGGGACACACATGCACGCGCACACACGTGTGCAGGCGCACTAGCACTCACTGGAGGGATGTCTACCGCCCCTGCTCCCAACCCAGGCACAGACCCGATGGCAGCCCTAGCCCAGGGGCTTCTCTTACAATGCAGAGTGAATCCCAGCCCTGGCCAGTCTTCAGCCTCCTGGTTCCCAGGGCCCTCTGGATCTCCCGCCACCTCTTGCGCCCAGAGCTGGCTTCTCAGCGGACCGATTGTCCAAGAGCACTGCAGCCTGGCACACCTCTACTCGGGGTCACCCACTGGCAGCCAGAGCGTGTGGACCCTAAGACCAGAGGCCAGGTGAAGTGTGGCCGGGGCTGTGGCAGTGTTGGCACACAGGCATGGCCGCCTGTAGACAGCTCTGTGCGGGCATTTCAGGTGTTCGTTAACCAGGCACCGGGCTGGTGGCCGGGGACCGCGTTAAAGCCCAAGAGAATTTCCGCACACCCAGACTCTGGAAAACGTCCACTGCAGACAGCATTGCTGAAATACCTCCGCCTTGGCTTGTAACTTTACGGGAAAGAAGCCGGATTCAGCCTCACGCAGAGCCAAGAGTGAAGATTTGCAAAAACAATGAAGCAATTCACTTGTCAGGATGCTGGGGAAGAGGAAACAGAAAAAGCCACTGAGTTCTCACCCATGCGAGTGTCCAGCCGGCTTGGGCTGTGGGCTTCGGGGTGGGGCTACCACGGCAACGGCCCTGCTAGACCTCTAGACCACGGCGTCCGCATGGTTCTTGGGAAGGTGAGGCTCACCAGCCGGCCGGACGATGCAGGGGAAGGTTTCTGTCCCTGAGGGAAGGCTGCTCTGTGAATTCCCTTCCAACCCAGAGAACCTGCAAAGTTCTTGCAACAGTCCTCCCGGTCTGAGGGCTGGGGACAACATAACGCTCTTCAAGGACTGCCCGTCGGACCAGAGGCCGGACAAGCAGAGCAGCTGCAGGCCAGGCGGTAAGTGTGGCCGACAGGAGGCTGGGGTGAAGGAGAGGAGGCCGGGAGGAAGGCGGAAAGCTGCGTGCTGGCGGACCCCACCCCCGGGCTCCACGGGGGACATCCGCTTTGAAGCTGCCATGCCTCCTTTAACTAGTACTCGCAGCCGAAGTTTGCTGCTGTTCTTTCCCTTTATTGAGAACATGGCCAGTGTAGCTGAAATGTCTGATATTTCCCACTTTTCTGCAAATCCTGAGTGGTTGAAAAGCATGTTCCTCCTTTCAGCCTCACCCACTACTGGAAGAGCAGCCGAGAGACTTCGCACTTCCCGTTGTGCGGACAAGGTGAGAAGCAAGAGGCCACCGTCTGGGCCAGACGTCCTGAGCCCTGAGCGGCAAGCTCCAGAACAGCCGAGCGCCGGGATGGGACTGGCAGGGCCGCCGCGCTCTCTGGAGCGAGGCAGGACAGGAGAAAATGGCTCGGCCTCCTGTCTTGCTTGCACTCGGAAATCTCAAGACAGCTTCCATGTATTGACTCCAGGATTTCCCGGAAGTCCCTGGAGGATAAATGGCATGTATTCTTCCAGGACTCCTGAGAGGAGGCAAGGCTGGACCCTTTAAAGACCTTTTAGTGAGGGCCAGCAGGTCGCACAGTGGTTAAGGTGCCGGACTGCCACATGGTCGACTGTGGTTAGAGTCCCAGATCCAGAGGCTTGAAACACACTGGGTGAGTGTGCATGAGTGCCCAAAGTCCTGAGAGGAGAATGGAGAAAGGATTGTGTCATGGCCATCCTCCTGGGGGTGATTTCTCACTTGCTTTCTCTCTGTCTCTCTCTGTTTCTCCGGCAAGCACACATGCCTTATAGCAAATTTTTTTAAAAGGCCTTTTAGAGAGGAGCCAGCAGGTGGCACAGAGATTGAGGCATGGCCTCCTGGTGGCTTGAACAGACTGGGTGCGTGTGCGCGTGTGCCCGAAATCCCGAGAAGGAGATGGAGAAGGGGCTGCAGCGTGGCCACGGCCCGGGGTGCGAGCCCCCTCTGGTAGGCTTATACTCTACAGCTAAACAAAGTAAAATACAAAGACCTTTCAGCATCTGGAGTCA